GCCACACAGTATGAAGTACAAATAAAAGTATAAAGACAAATAAAAATGGAGGAGGGGATGGTGCACAGGGCTCTGGAAGCCCAGGTGGGCTCAGGGAAGTTTGGATTGGGTGCCTCCAAGCTGGGGCAGCACCTGGCCAGATAGCAGCCCACCTGGACTTGCAGCACTCCATGCACCGTTCCCACTGCCAGTAAATTCAACCAGCCTTCTGCCACCTTCCTGTGCTGCCCCAGGGGCAGGCCAGCGTATTCCTGGGTGGCCTGAGGTGTCCTGCACACTGCAGGAACCTGCTGCAGGCAGAAACAGCGAGGGGCCCAATCCTTCTTTTCTGTGGAGACTGCCCTCCTCTCCTACAGCCAGGGACCAAGCTGACAGCTGCATCATTGCAATTTGCAACATTGCAAACTAAAATACATCCAGATGTAGTTTACTTTGTAATGATGCAAACTCATTTAAAACCACCAAAACTCTTGCATGTGTATAGTGTGACACCATTAAGCCACACCAAGTGATATTTTTGTCACGTGTACAACCACCCTAGTATACTTCAATTACTTTAGGAAATGCTTATTTGCTTTACCTCTCAATGTGGAATATATAAGAGCTAAAGATAAGCCAGTGGCTCTGTAAATTAGTGGTTGGGAATATATGAATTAGAAATATCCCTTTAAATAACAGAATCATTTTAATACTACCCCTCCATTAGGCAGGGGGTTCAACCAAATGACCTATGGATGTGCCTTCCAGCCCTACTTCTCTATGATTTTAACGATTTTTATGATTACTGCTAAATGTCAGCTTCTCACAATAATTCTTTCCATCTTAGGTATAAGAATGGTTCTTTTCTTTCCCCTTCTGCACTTCCAGTGGCTTAATTAGTTAAAGATAAGTATATAACTTAGGAAAATGAATCCAAACTCCCAGTACTCTTAATACTGATAGGTAGTTTGTAGTAATTTGAAGCTCTTTGAATGCAAGAGAACAGTTGAATTCCAGTGCATAACTTATACAAAACCAAGCAAGTCCAGGCAATGGCTTGCATAGTTTTCATAGAGGCCTCACTGGATGAGGAACAAATACCTCAGCAAGAAAGTAATTTTTCCACCTTGCAGTATCAGGGTAAAGACAGTGAGTGCCAAAGAAGTTTCACGACAGATGCTTGGTAAGGTAAGATTTACCATTTGTATTCTATGCTTTTTGAAAGGTCTTGTCCAAATCAAAGCTGGAACATTTCCTACTGAGAATACAGAAAGGAGCCATGTGCTTTCTGGTGATGTATGCTTTTAGTTCACAAAAGTGCCACTGAGAAATTATCATCTCTTTAATAGATAAGCAAAGACTGGGTGTAAAATGAATTGGCATTAATCAAACTGTGAATACCACTGGCTGAATTAACGATAATGGGTGAGGATCTAGTAGCTGGTGCTTATTATTTGGTCAGAATGAGCAGCATGCTCACTTCTAAATGAGAGAGAAAAGAAAATGTGGTTTGCTCTGAAGATCTTAATATCCAAATAAGGGTTTTAGAGTCTGATTTAAAAGTGTACAGCCTCTGATATGGAAAGGAAATGTAAACAGATGAATTAAAAGTGCCCAGACTTGCACTTACATGAAGTTTATTGTAAAGGAACTTTCAAATTTAAAAGATTCAGAACAAACCGATGAACAAAATACCTGACAGTCCTACCAGCTCCAGAGAGACATCTGGTATTTTCCGCGACTTTTTGTAAGATTGTGGTTCATTCCACTTCCTGGTCCTCATTTTCATGCTGAGCAACAGGTTGCTTCTCTCCACCTCCGAGGTGGCTACATTTCTGTGGCCTAGTCTGGACAGTCTGTGCGGTTCTTTGGGATTATCTGTGAGGGGATTTTTGTTCAAGTTTCAAGTGTCACTCAGTTGAAGTAAAGAGCAGGAGTAGCAATATCTGGGGTCTGAAATAAGAGCTGATTGCTAGGAACAGATGTGCTGGTGTTTTTCATAGGCAGCCTGAGATGGATTTGGATGAAGATTGCTTTGTGTACATTTTAAGTCATGCAAAATGGAGAAGTGATTTCAAATTAAATGAAAACACATATTTATTATTTGTTAGATTGTACCTGTGTTCTCTAGCTGTGTGGCAACGCCAGGTCCTCCCTCCAATACCAACAGTTAGGGTGACTTAATGTTACCTGACTATACATAGTTCTCCTGGATGCAAATGGAACCAGATTTTCAGCTCCCATTGTGAGACATGGCTAGATGCTCAAAAAGGGCCAGCATCCCATGAGCACCCAGAAATCTTGAAAATCTAGCTTGGGCATGCCATTACTTAGCTCAAGTAAGGGTGGCAGAATCTATGCAAGTGTGTTAATAAACACCAGGTGTTCTCAGGAAGGTAATTGGCACTGTAGCTTGTGTATGTTCCTCCCATAAAATCTTCTCATGCTTAAAATGGAGAGTTGCTTATACTCTAAGAAAACAGCTCTTCTCAGGAGATTATTCCTTTCATGAGCCATGTGCGCCCAGGCAGCAAAGGGTGTGCTTTCTCTGGAAAGAGGCTGGGAGGGGAATGCATATTTCAACGTGGAATCCTCCATCCTGTCCCAACATGCACAGGCTTCCTGTGAACTTGTGCCTGTCTCCAGTCCTAGTATTCCCCTCCTGGGGACTGTGATGCCTAATTCTCCGAATGCTCTTGGCTTCTCCTCTAGCTGTAATAAGGCCACATTAATTACATATCAGTTCAAGATAACTACCATGAGATCATTCAGTTAACATTGTGATCATATTCTGGGCCAGTTGGCTCAAGCTTCGCTCTTTAAGGAACTCCTTAAGAGCAGCTACATAGAACATTTTGAATGATTGCATTAATGAACAGCTCATTAGTCACCTTTTTTGTTTAATTAAAGGAGAGCTTCACAGGGAAGGAATATATGAGGCAATAAAAGGCTTCTGAGGAAAATGAAATGAAGAAACCAAATGGGAGTGTTTGATAACTGCAAGATCAGTTTGCTGCCTTGTATATTCTAGCATGAAGAATAGTATTCCTATTATATGGCTGTGGAAACTCTGCTCAAACACACAATGCTTTTCAAGCTCATGAAGGTCTGTATATTGAGCATTGCTGCTTTCCAGGCCTGATCCAAAGCCCCTTGGCTGGAGTTGTGACTGGATCACACCTATTAACTTGATTTTTTGTGTTCCCCTTGAGGGAGAAGAGTAACTGTTCGAAGGCAGGCGTCAGTAGGTGAATCTGTTCCAAGGGCTGTTCTAGCTGCCTGACAGCAGCCTGCAGACACGCTGAAAGATGTGGCTGTACCACATTAACACTTTGAAATTGGACATCTAAGGGTTTTTAAAGTTTATCTGCTTTAATACTCCTGAAATAGGTCAGTAGCAAATTGTCCTTGTGTAGGCACAGCTGCATCCATATGTATAAATACAAAAGTGCTGAGAAAACGTACTCCTGCTCAGCGAAGCACAATAGCTTTTTCCATAGATAGAGCTATGATTTTGAAAAGGGAAGTACAGATAGTGTGGTGCCTCATTTTATATAGCACAACAGAGTTTTCTCTAGGCAAAAAGAAATTAGGAGCTTTGCTAACATGCTCGGGGCCTAGGGCTGTATTATTCAGTTTAAGATCAAAGCAAAAATAAATATCACTTTCATTGGAATGTGTATTTATTTCCTATATCATACATTATATTTATTCAAATATAAAATGAGGTTTTTCCACAATCAGCATGGGGAAAAAATCCTCATCTTACTTTTGCATACAAGGAAACCTCATTATATAGATTATCTATCATTAAACAGTAGGCCTGTGAGAAGCAGCTAGTATTCGCTTCGGATTTGGATTTGACTGATTTGGGGGACAGGGATTAAATTTGGTGATTCGAATCGCTGTCCCGAATCAATTTGGCCAGATCTGATTTTGAGATTTGGCCACTGCCGAATTGGCTGAATTTCCAAATTGGCCCCATCCCCTGCCCGTTGTCCCAGCCCTATCAATAGCTGCCCTGTCCGGCCCCAGCTCCTGGCAATTTGAAAAATTTAAAAAAGCCCCCACTCACCAGCTGCTGCCAGACAGGGGGGGTGGGCACGATTCCTGCTGCCCCCCACTGTCCCACACCATGTGGGGGGCTCTGCCACAAGCCCCCCCGCCAACCCCTGCCCACTCTCCCAGCCTCCCTAGCCCCAGCTCCTGACTCTTTGGAAAAAAAAAAGAACAAATGCCCCCACTCACTGGCTGCTGCAGCAGCTTCAGGGCTTGTGGGGGCTTGTGGGGGCTGCGTCCTCTCTGTCCTCTCCCACTGATTTCTCATAGTAGGACTGGAGTTCACTCAGAAACATTTTAATACAGTCCGTTTGCTTGAGCTCAGTGTGTCTGTACATCAGGAGGCTCCTGCATTGCCACAGGGTGCTCCTGATGCAGGACACAAACTGGTCGAAGTGGGTTGTCTGGGACCCCTGATGTTTAGTCAGGTGTCCATACAGTGCTGCCTCCCTTGTCAGCAGCCTGACTCCTGTCACTTCCTCAAGGAGCCGGCTTACTTTTTCCAAAATCTCTTGGCATAGGGGCAGAGCCAAAAGAGGTGGTTGATGGTCTCAATCTCGCCTTGGCAGCTTGCCCTGGAGCAGCTGGGTCTAGACTCTCATCTTGCTCTGTGCCTCCATGCCTTCACTGGGAGTATGCCGTGAGCTATGAGCCAGTTCAAGTCTCTGTGGTCTTTTCTTAGGTCTTTGTGAAAGATCCAGTCCCAGACAGCCTGGCAGTCATCATCAGGGAGCAGCTCCAGGGTCGCTTAGCCTGTCTCTGACTGTCTTCTGTATCTTCCTGTGGTTGGACATGGTCTCTGGGCTTTCCTTCTGTAGCCCCTACTCGCTCTGGAACTCATTCAGCACACTGCAGAGCCAGGGGCATTCCTTGGTGCACAGTCTCCCTCTGGCTGGTGCATACCCACCCCACATGGTCTCAGGAGGTGACCTGTACAATACTTGACAAGACAGGCTGTTTTGGTTGCTGGCCCAGTCACCAGCTTGCAGATCTGGCTCATGTACCATGCCCACAGGAACAGGTGGATGTCTGGCATCCCTCTAGCCCCCACCTGTTTCTTCTTGTACAGGGTCTTCCTTGCCACCTTCTCCATTCTGGATCCCCAGAAAAAGATGCACATGGTTCTCTGGATTCTGCGTGACGCACTTGGGTCGGGGAAGACCAGTGTGGTGTATCACTGATAGCAACACTGCCTTCATGAGTGCTATGCGCCCTACCATGGAGAGGTGACACGCATACCACTGACCCACTCTCTGCTTCGCTTTGGCCTCCATCTTAATCCAGGCCCTCATTCTGCTCAGCTTGGGGTCAAGTCATAAGAAAAGAAAGGTGGTACTCAACTGTGGAAGTGAAAGGGAAGTAAAAATGTATTCAATGTAGTGGTTCACTATGACTTGTGGGCATTTTGGCACCATGGAAGGGTGCCAGAATTTGCTCTAGCTTTTCACTCTCCCATGGTGCCAAAAATGCCCACTGTGTGCAGTCTGCCTCAGTATTGACTCATTTTCAAGTCATAGTGAACCACTACATGAAATACATTTTTACTTCCTTTTCACTCCCGCAGATGAGTACCACCTTTCTTTTCCACGTCTCATTATTTATTTTTCTTCATCAGCTTAAATGTCTGGCAAACATCACCAAACTGGGCCCCAAACAGTTCACCCAGACTCTCCCTCTTACCCTATCACATATGATTTGTGTGGCCCAACTCTCCATGAGGTGAAGCCAGACTAGGTTGCCCTGTGCCTTATCTGTGTAAAAACTTTTGCCGTATCCCAGGACTCATGACAAGAATACCTGGTTCCAGTCATGAGTAGGGGGCTAATTAGCACGTGAATCCTTTTTGTGGGGTATCTGGAGTACACACACATACTGAACAATGCTGAGCTATGGAATTAGCTTGGCTTGAAAAGCTGTTGATTCTCTTGGGGCCCAGTCCAATGAAGTATATGGTAAATCATTCATGAGCCTTTTGGCTTCAGATTAATATTACGCATACCTGAGTGGGGAAATACCATGATGATGGTTTTGGCCCAGGTGGTTTTACATACCTAGCAGGGGAGATTCCCTTTTCCTGGCCTTGAATAACTTGATGTAGTTGAGGGTGGAGACCTTTCCATTGTACAGTG